AACGTTTAGATATAACATGTCTGATGAACATGAACTAATAATTTAGAAGGTCACAGAAGATAAATTCAGCAAAAAAGGATGAGTGCATCATAAATATGATAAATAGGGTTAAACTCTTGGCCTGAAAATTTGTCTGTATGGTGTTTGTGTAATTTTCTTCTCCAGTATCTGAATATTCTGTCTCAAAAATGCAGAGTAAATTTACATTAACACACAGAGACTTTTCTTTTGTAACTGATTCATTGATTTCTGTATTTATTTTATAATTTCAGCACCAGACATTAAATTTTGACTCCTTTCTCTGTAATATCTCTCCCACCTAAACTGAATAAGTCATATCTGAGGAAAGCTTGAAATCACCAGAAATTCTAGACTTGTGACAGGAGTATTCTTCATAATCCTTTCTTTTGGAAATAGGTCTGCAGCTTATAAAAAGCCAGAGTGCTTTAGTTGAATAGAGACACTTTAGATGTCAAACCAACCAAAGCCGATCCCGACCCCATAGTGTTAAGACAAGAGAATCACATTATATCTTCATTTTCTTTAATTTTCACACACAGAGATACAAGAACTCTTCTCTCTTGCCTTCTGAAACACAGGGGGTTTGAGTCAAAATGAACATTCAGTGCAATATGTTTGCATCCTTACTGAGGCTCTTTTTCTTGACAGTTAATTGAGTTGAATCAAAATGCATTGAGGTAAAAGGAAAGGACTTCAACTGGAACATGTATAACTGGATTAGACTGAATCTGTCTGTAGTTATTATTGGCTTATACTGGACTGCATATAATTGAGCTTGTTTACTTTTTCAGTAAAATGCCCTGAATTTGTTCTAAATTGGTGGTGCAGTGTATAAGTAAAATGACTATTTTGGAAAGAAATTAGTAGATTCCTACTGTCTCTGTGTAAAAGGGCTGTCATGTCTAAAAAAACCCAAACATTTAATATTAAATATAACTGCTTCATGGTGCATAGACGTCACTTGTTCCTCAGACAAGAGGGATCGTCTTTGACAATTGAGAAAGCACTTTTTGAAGAAATGCTTTTGAAAAGTTTTGTTGAGCAAATTAAAATGACAGAATCTGACACTCCTGTGATCCATCAGACATAAAGCTGTGTATTCTGAGCAAAACAAAACTTCAAAAAAAATCATCAACTTTCAGGGCCCTTTCTTTTCATCACCCGGGTATTGCTCAACATAAAGTGTTCAGGAGTTACAATTAATAAATCATGTATGTGTATTACAAAATAGTGTGTAAAATGGCTGAGAACATAATTAATGCAAACGTACATCTTCATGTGCTAAAAAAAATAAAACAACTGGCAGTGTTCTCTCTACTATTACATGAACAATCAAACAACACAAGCGAGCAGAAAGAAGGCCTCAATAATTTTCTATCACTTACAAGGAAGACAAATTTGTTTGGAAATATTTCCTGACACAACGAATGTACCTGAGCAGATTAAATAATCAGTTAACATCAGCTTGTAATACTTGTGAATGTCAAAGCGTATAGTAGGCAGGCACATAAAAAGCCCAGCTAAGTATATCAGCTGATTTTTCAATAGTGTATGTGCTCATCTATATCTGTAGAAGTCTTTAGTATGTAGTATTCAGTATGTGTATTCAGTATTGAAAACTAAACAATAAGGAATTTCTGTTGTAATGTTTAAGGTTGGTTGACAAAAGATCCAAATGTAGCTTGTATATGAAGAATGATTGAATGAAAGCATGATGAAAAAACTTACAAAGACCACAGGGAGCACAAAGAGCCAGAGACACAACAAAAAACTGGAATTCAGGGAAAAAAATGACAGCAGCAAAATGACAAGAGTTGACAGGAGGAACCAGAAAGGAGTGACGGTGAAATCACTGGGAGGCTAAACATTGAGACAATGGACCTGGGCTGATTAGCTAAATGATTGCAGGTGTAACGAGAAAGAGCAGGCAGACTGAGGAGAGGAAGAGAGAGAAAGTGGCACAGCAGGCAAGGGAGTGGGAAATGAATCTAACAGTGAAACAAACAAAATACAATAAAACTAAAGTAGCTAAGAATAACTAGACAGAAGAAATAAACAAGATAAACTAGAATCACTAAGAAGGGACTGAACAAAAGATAACAGGAACAAGACTGATCTAACCAAAGTAAGAAACTAACAATAATAATGGAATAAAATCAAAATACAAAACAAGCTAAAATTCTAACAGTTACAAAGATATTATTATAATTAGGAATACCCTTTTGTTATATTGTTCTGCAGCAGGAACAATTGTTACTTTTGTCTTTTTAAATTAAAAAATCCGATGTATTTTATTTATTTTTCTTTCTTTTTTTTTAATAATAGGATACCAAACATTTTACTCAGGATTGCAATACTCAGGGCCACCACACAATACCGTGACAATCACAAACTGACTCATACCTACTTGTCACTGAGGCTCTAATTGTTACCAAGGTATTTTTACATCACTAAAAAATTTTTTCTTTCATGAATCGATAACAAGCAGCCAATTGTCTTTGATAACAAATCATAATAGTGAGAGCAAATGTTTCCCAAACAAATTAATCACATGTTAATGTTCTCCAAAAAAGCACCGACCCCTATGGTTAAGAGGAGCATCACACAATTTTTATCAGTTAATGATTGTGCACACATTCATGAAACGAGGCAGGAAAAGAGCAGCTATAAGGCTGATCGCACCCTGCATGTACACAAACACACACATGCTCACCCAGGTGTTCCTCTACAAACACATCCACTCCGTAAATCAGAAATGACCTAGTTAGTTCCCATGACAACAAATCCCAACACAAAGGAGCGGTCAGAAGAATGAATCTTTGTCTGCTGCCGACGTCTGTGAGCATCGGAGTGAGCTTAATGAGTGTACCTGAGAAAAAAAAAAACAACAGCTTTGTTTCACAGAGCTTCACAAGATCTGGAAACTACACTATTATCAGCATAACCTGAACATTGTTAGTGAATGCATTCTAACAAAGTGAGTAGAAAAACTCAGGGGACGTGACAACAGAGACCCTGACTGCACAGACGTCTTTATAATTAAAGAGAAGTTTTGTTATTTATGTTTTTTGTTGTCAAATAGATGATAAATGAAGTTTATACTCTTTGAACATCAACTTTCACCTTAAAATGAAGACAAATTTAAGTATGGTGCATATTAGCAACATCGGGCAAAACAGGGCAAAAACACAATGCAAATGTGCTGCTATTTCTCAAATAGGGCTTTGAAATTAACTTCTGTACAATCATTGAGTGAACTTTTTCAAAGATTTGTTAAAATACAGTTTAAAAATGCAAAATTTCAACAGGATGTAGTTTAAACTTTTTAGTATTTGCAGCTTGTAGCAAATCTCCAAAGTCTGCATTGAGTCATTGTAGAAGTGTGATTTACAGGAAGATTTGGGTTGACAATAGTACAGATTTTACACTAATAAAAAAAATTGTCTCTGTAGCATAAAAAAATATCTGAGCTGAAAATGGGTGTGTTTTAATTACTGCATAAACATACATAAATATCTAAATTTCAGGGAAATAAAAACTTCTTTAAAAGCCATTATTGTGCTATTTAAGAACAAGAACCTTTAAAGGAAGACTTTAATGTGATTGAATGCCAGAAAGTAAAAAAATAAATAAAGTTAAATGTTTTGGGGTTTTTTTGTAACAAAAATCAACCTTAAAACTCACTGAAATGGTCACTTCCCCACAACAGTTGGTTACCATCTTCACATGATAAACCATGATCAGACAATATGTCCTTTTACTGAAATGACTCACCCCAAACAGTGAGACACTTTACTGCTCAAATCAGCAGTCAATGAAAGAATCTCAAGTCCCCTTAGTGACAATACCAGCTGCCCTCTATTCCCAGAGAGTAATGAGGGTGGACCAGAATCTAAAGCAGCCAAATAGATTTGGCCATTGTTCATTTTCCTTCTTGGACTTGTTCTTTCTTTTCTACAGGTAGATTCCGAACATATCTTTATTTAAACAATCAGATTACAGGGTGGTTTGCTCTCAAATACAATGTGATAATATTCCTTTAGGCTCCACTTAGCCTACTGAAGATTGGCATCTTACAGTATTTTTCTCTAATTCAAGTGGTAAAATCAAAGAATAACCGAATCAAATAATTCTAATAATCTTACAGCATGTGCACCCTACACATGCTGTATGCAAGGATACACAAAGAAAAACAATGGCAGAAACCATCTTCACATTGAATTGAACATGACCAGAGCAATGGTCTAATAATTCAGTGTTAAAAAGCAAAATTACACATTGCATTCCAGCAAAGCAAAGTCTATTTTAGAAGTAACTTCTCACAAATTGGTTGGTTCTAGTCCACTTCCTACTTTTGTTGCCCCTAAGAGATACTGTACCATATAAGAGAAATGTCAGACAGGATTTTAGTCTAGGTGCAGAGCTTCTGTGTGAACGTCTGGTTAGGTTAAGCACCTTGATGAAGATCCATCCCTTTTATCCTGTTCTTCCTGCTCATTTCCCCTCTCATTGCCAGTGCACATTCTTTGCCCCTGCTGTCCTCATGCTGGAATATTAGACATGCAGAGATGGTTGGCTTGTTTTTACACATCATTCCTAACAGCAGCTGCAATTATGGGAAGATTTCACATCTAAAGTAAATGCTTGCACCACTCTTAAGAGTTGATTCGTACAAGCGGTCAGAAGAAAAGAGCAGTAATAGACGAGGGAGGATGAGAGAAGCCTAGTATGGCGGGTGTAAGGATGCTGCTAATTCATGGAAATGTTCCTGAGGAGGGAGAACTAAAGGGAAAGGGGAAGTAGATGCAATCTGATCTTCACCATATCCACAACTTGGTAAAAAAAAATTGCAACTTAATGTTTGCTGCGGGACTTCTAGATGTCTGTGTGTATGGAGCACTGAGACAAAAGCAAGCATGCATTTCAGGCAGAACGAAACAATGCGTCCCAGAAAGCAAGCAGAGACAGAGAGCACCTACCTTCATGTTGTATCTGTGCAGGTTTCTCTGGTTCTCTTCACGTTAACCGAGGGAAAAAACGCGTCTACGTTGCATTAACTGAAGAAACCCTCTTAAAAGCAGGAGGTTCAGATCGGGATCTGCTCGGGATAACTGTGTTCTTTTTGTGTGAACGCGCAGACTGTTACGTCCTCTCCTCCTCATCAAGGAAGCAGCCTCACGTTGAGCCGAAATCCGAACCCGACTCGTAAAGATACCCGAACCCAAAGCAAAGAATTTAGCTGCCGTTTGTCCAGATTTCCTGTCATCGGACTGTGATATTTCGGGTAAGGATGGTAGGAAAGCAGAGAAAGATGCTCAGAGGATGAGGATGTGAGCAGGTCCCTACGCTCTTCTTGCCTACGGAAGCCTGCGTGGCCGGGATTTTCTTTCGCCTTTTTTTAAACCGCTTTAATTACGTTAACTCACTCCTGAAAACCACGCTTGCAATTAAATAAATCTAAAGCAACTTTAGAACATAAAGGTAATTAATGAAAAATTATAAATGGAACATTTTGGCCAGTAGGTGAAATGCTATGTATTTAAATATGCATGTTGAAAACACAAAGATAACTCTGCAAATCTGTGTGAACACATCATCATCACAGTTTCCTTTTCTTATGTGATTGTTGTTTTCCATTAGCAGGGACGTTGAAGCTGGTCACAGTTGACTTGAAAAACGACCAATTACATCCTGCAAGAAAACTGTTTAAGGACAGAATGATCATAAATATACAGCCAAATGAAAAGCATAGTTGTTTTAGAAAGGTCAAAGTCTGGACCTAAACACAACAGCAACCCAATAAAAAAATTGACTCTCAATCTCAATTAGATTTAGAGCAAGTTGAAAATTCAAGAGAATCTCAACGTAACATGACTGATCTTCCGCTATTTTAGGTGAAAAATTGTTTATAAAGATGCAAAATTAAATGATCAAAGAATCTTCAGTGAAAGTTGTACTATGAGAAGCAGAACACGATACAAATTGTAAATGGGGTATGAATATGAATAGAGTACTGTACATATTTCAAACAGACCAGTGTTTTTTGTTTTCTTTTAGGATAAACAAATATTTATAATGTATTGTGCAAGTTGATCTAAATCAGTTTCATCGTTCCACATCAATTTTTGAGACCAAGTTAAGGTCTTCGTCGCCATCTAGTGGTGATGCACAAATACAGCAGACCGGGTTGCAGGCAATTCAAACCTCAGAGCAACAAGACACTTCACCTTTGGTTTATGAAACCATGACACAAAAGATAAAACAAAAGGTCAGAAATCTTCATCAAACCATTTATTTTTTTTCTCCAACATTTATGAAGCCAGAAGGAAAATTAGATTTTGATCGGATCATCCACAATGTCAAAAACGATGAGTTATTTTCTGATCACCATCACATCAACACAGTGCATACACAGTACCATTTACAGTTACTAAAAACCCGGGTCGGTACAGTCTTTGTTTTTAAATGAAAAATATTCTTTCAAGCATGGCAATTAGGTTAAACTTTTTATTTTCCTAACTATCCCTTTCTTATGTATCATTCAACGTTTACACTCACAAAGTGAGTGGAATAATGAATGACTTCAGATAGTGAGAAATGAACTGATCTGTAATCTGTGGATTTTCCTTTTCTTATGTGACTGCACACTACAGTAAATTAAAAATCCCTGAAAGGCTATAAGCTAACCATATGTGTTAACATAAACAGAGATGTTCATGTTAATAAACCCTATATGTTGTGACGTATCCAGGGGCCTAACATTGTTTTTACTTTGTTTCCTAAACATGTACATCCATCGGTTTCAACATCTTAAGGAATGTTAGTAATAGCTTGGTAAACAAAGAGCAGTAAAAGCCAACTGCATCAAAACAGTCAAATATTACCGTTCAAATGCAGATGGAAACATGCAAAGAAAAAGTGTTTGAAGTGTTACATTTCATAGTTCAACGTATCAGACAGACTTTAGTAAACAATTGGTAAAACCAATTGTTTACTAAACACATTCCTGCTACTTCAGGAATGCGAGATGGTTACAGCTGACTAGCGAAATAACGGATTCTATAAGATAAGAAAAACTTGAATCCAATTATAACGTTCATGATACATTTTGAACAAAGTGACTCAAATGATTTGTTTTAGTTTTTTGCAACACTTATGCACAATTGACTTGTAATTATCAGATGGGCCTTTTGTGATTTAACAAGAGCAAAGACTGAAGAGAGAAAATACCCACGTAGATAGAGAATTGCTACTGTGACTTATATGTTCCACAATTAAACTTTAGAACAATACTTTCAATTTAATAAATGTTCAATCACTATTCAAAGGCAGGAAAAACACTATATGTGAGCCAACTGTAGAACGGCCCAATTCCTAAATTGAGAAGACCGGATACAAAAAACAAAGAGGCAGACCAGGCCACAAACACAATGACAAACATCCTCGTGCTTCACAGGAAGAAAGAACATAAAATAAAAATCACATCAAGCATACACACACACACACAGCATTTTCAATACTCCAGAGTAATTTTTAACCATCGTTCAGATAAGAGTGGTCTGCAAGATAATCCAAGAAAACCTCTTGAAAAATCAAACCCTCACATCTGAAGGCTACAGATTGCTTCATGACTCAGTAGTTGAATTGTCAACATTATCCAGTGAGTAGAGAAGTGGAAATGAAAAATATAGAAGAAAAATCAACATTGTACCCCTTTTTCAGTTTTTTATTCAACATTCATGTTTTCCAATGATCATCCCACCCTTACACGAACGATGGTTAAAAACAATACAGAGTGAATATAGACATTTAAATAATTTACGATGTATGTACACAATAATCCATCTTATTTTTCAGGAGTTTCCTTGTCTTCTCAAGATGTGAGCACATCTTCTAATCACCCATCTTTACTTTAGAGGTCTGAAGGGGGAAAAAATGCTGTTAGAGGGATCTTATAGTAGTTACAGATGATCACCAGGAAGTATTGTTTAGGAGTCGGGTTTACCTGCAGAATTGCTACAATGACACCAAACAGGCCAATTGCGCTGCCAAAGATTTCCACAATAAGAATCTTCACAAAGAGGCTGGCGTTCTGGGCATCTGCCAAAGCTGCTCCGCTGCCCACGATGCCCACACAGATCCCACAGAAAAGGTTGGAAAAGCCCACAGTGAGGCCAGCTCCGAACATGGAATAACCTAACCATGGAGGGGATGAAATAAATCACAGGCTCAATATTTACAGGGGAACTATCATAAAAGCTACATGAAATTAGAGGGAGAAAAATCCCTCCTAAAATAATTGCATTGATCAGGTGCAGTTTTATGTTTAGGGCTCTATTAAAACCATTTTGCTGGTTTCTGCCCTTTTACAGTCCAGATACTTTGAGCCTGTTTTCTCACCAGCTTGGTAATTTCGTGCTCCGATGGTCTCAGGGGTTGTGCCACTGAAACTCTATAAGATGAGAAGAAACTCTTTTTAGAGACAATAACTTATCTTCATTCTGCTGTTTCAACCATATTTCAGTTCTGCAGCAGTTCACAGCTTAAGCTTTATTCTACGCTTGCATCGTATTCTGTCTAACACTACTTTTAGTCTCTATAATTTTATTTAAAATAAATCTTTGTAGCTAGCAGCAATTCTGTTACCTCAGCCATGTTGCTAATAACAATTGCCATGATGATCCCATAAATGGCAACAGCTTCACAGAAGATGATGCTGCAAAGTAAAAAGAACAACAAAAGGAACAATGAGACATTAGAAATTAAAGAATTTCATCAATATATCTAGTATCTAAATATACAAGATCATCAAAAATATCATTTCAATAATTCAATTCAAAATGGTGAAATTCCATTTCTGTTAATTTTGATGACTGTGGCATACGAATAATGAAAACCAAATGTATATTTCTTTCTCTCTTTTTTTTTTTTTTTTTTTTTTTTTTTTTAAGAATGTCAGACCAATGACTGTTACACAATGAGGTTGAGGACTGCTGACTCGACAGTAGTCCAGCTGACAATCATTGACATCCTTAACAAGGCGGTCATGCCACAAAATGTGACCGCTAAAGAAGCCGGTGGCTCACAGAGTACTGTAGCCACGCATATTAAAGCAAGGTTGAGTACACAGAAAAAAGTGAGTTGGAAAGCAGCCACCAAGAAATTTAAGAGAACTTCATACTTCCCTCTACTGAAAAGCTTCATGGAGGTGTTGATTTCATTTTCCAGCAGGACTTCAACTTTAACAGAGCTTTGTGCCGCTGCATTGAAGCAGCAAAACACACCAAAGGAGCCCTGACTTTTCAGAGAATCTATTTTTACAAACCTTTTCAATAGGCAGACCTTTTGGCATTAAAGGTTTCCTTTATATTAATTAATTTTTATATTGTAATATTAGATTATTCTGAGTTTTTATAATTAACTGAAATCCAGAATTGAAATATAAGTTTGACCTTCTGAGTTATCTAACTGAAATAAGTTGACTGTTCAATAATAATCTAGTGTGGCAAGATGAACACCTACCAGTAGGGATATTTTTATTCTTTTTAATAGTAGAGCAAATGTGCCTACCTGACCAAATTTTTGGTTTTGATTCTTGGAGCCTTGACTCCTCCACCAATGATGCTTGAACCAGTGATGTAGATCCCCCTGGAGATTGAGTCAAAACAAGAATTCAGTTAAAAATTAAAGAAAGAAGGAAGAAAAGTGAAAAAGAGTCGTAGTCAAAAATTTATTGCTAGCATATATAACTGAAGGTTTCTATGAAATCCAAAATATCTGTAATGGTTGATTTGGTCAGTCATAGCGCACGATCTGTTGGGCTAGCTCTTGACTTTAGTAACTAATTTGTAGCTAAACAGACTACATGTTATTTGTACCAGTCAGATGAATACTTGTTTTTCATCCCAAAAAAGTCAGTTAGTGTGTTATGCCATTTGCAAAATCCATTTTAAAATGGATCTTGCAAATCCATTTTATCTAGGCAAAACTGACTGAGCAGGTATTATTTCTGATTAAATGTTAATGTGTTCTGGCTTTAGAAATTTAGTACAGTATAAGTTATAGCACATTTAAAAAAAGTCTTGCATTATTGATTATGGGTTTTGGTGGTAATTTTTCCCCCAAATTAATAAAAGATAATATATGAATAAAAACAGTAGGAAATTGTATCAAAATCTGTAATAATCTGGATTTGTAAGTGTCAATATTAGGTGTAAAATTTCTATCCAAAGAAAGCTTTACTCTAAACTTTCAATGGTTGGTAACTTTACAGAGGAAAAAAAGTGACTTCTATATACTATAATGAATTGTGTTTTTAAATGACAAAAAAAC